TAGAAACTCAGAAAATCGTATGGAAATGCTGAGAGGAAGGAGTGCAATGTATAGCCAAGTTGAACGTTTTCAGTTTGGTGTGTCTTTCTTCAACAGTTGCTGCACATATTTATAGCAGTCAGCTTTGAAGATGAACGACCCTCCACCCTCCATGGTGGAGCATGCACTAGCTTGTTTGTGGAGCAAGCACTTGGCCATGGTGGGAAGAGCATTAGGCGGCTGCTATTGCAGCTGGTGGTCAATACACGGATTGGAACATATCCGTTACAAATGCGGATAATCTTACGTTAATATTTACTATTAACAAATAAATTTGGTCCAAAAAATATCCGAAGCCGAGCCGAGCCGAGCGAGCGACGACGACGCGAGACTTGCTTTCTTCTTAACTCTTTAAGAGCTACAAGAAGAGCAATTATATATATACCCACCAAAAATCTTTTCCTCTTTCAATATGGGACAATGTCTCATTGTCAAGAGGGGGAAACTTAAAATTTTACTCAAAAATTTTATTTTTCCTTCCATTTCCCATTCACTCTCATTTTAAGACTATTTCATCTTAAATAACAAAAACCTCAACAAAACCTCCAACTGCTTTTCCTATTTTTGGAAGAGTTTCAGTTCATATGACAAGCATCTGCAAACATTGCTTTGATATGCAACTACTAAGCCAAGGAAAGCCGTAAAAGACTGTTGCTTTTTGTTAATATATATCTTACAACTTTTACTTCTCACTCTAACGTAAGTGCAGCTAACTAATTGCTTTAGCACCTTCCTCTAACATACTTCTGAAAATTCATCTTTACCCCTTTATATAACTTTATCTAGGATAACCACTATCATTGTATAAACTTGACAAATGATAAGAAGGCATGGATAGAATAAAGACCTATCTACTGATGTGTACGTAAAGATAACCCCCCAACGAAAAGCATGAAAAAATAAAATAAATGGCAGAAGTAGAGAAAAGAAAGGAAAAGTAAGAGTGATCCAAAAAAGAAACATCAATAATTAAATGTGACCTAATAAGATGATGATAGGGTACCAACTTGGACATAAACTAATATACCTTTATAAGTCCTCCTTCAGTTTTTTATTACAACTGCAACTATTGAAAAGAGGAAGAAATGATAAAAGCTAGCACAGACCAATCAAACAGTCAATATTAGGATACCCTACACTCCCGTGACTGCATTCTAACATGTCTTCATTTTAATATTGTCAAGTGGGAAATTACAAAGCGTGAAAGCAAAAGATCCAACTCACCTCAAGCAAGAATCGCGGTAACATGGATGAGTATTTTGCATTGGCATCAGTATCTGTGATTTCCCAGTGGATAGGTGTCTTGACCTCAACAGCATTTCCAATGGACAAACCACCAGCTTTCTCATATGGCTGATCATATATTCTTTCCCATACTTTCTTTGTGTTCTCAATTCCTTCTTCCTTCACAACCTCCCATGGTCCTGCTACTTTTCTCATTTCCTCCTCCAACCCCTTTGTGTCCAATGCGTACGCACTAGGATAACTCTGATTAATCAATTCATAAAAACCGAAAAAATTGCATAAGCATCAATACACCACAGTCATTAGACAATAAACATATCTCAACTTGATGAAATCATACATTCAAATTAATATTTAAGTAAACAAATAGTACAAGATCCACGTGGATTATGACATCAAGGTTATGACAAACACTACAGAAATCTCGACACCATACTACCTAAAAGCTGAATAATTTGACACTGTACTATCTAATTGAATAAGTAGTATTAAGTATTTTATTCTCAGAGCAATATTAAAATCAGAAATCTTTTTCTAGCAATGTGTGATGGCCAATGAAAATTGAGCAAGTTGATGCCTAAAGGATCTGATCTATGTAATAAATTAATGATCTTTTTGGCCTTTTTTTTAGATAGTGACTCAATAAAGTATTTTCTGAGAATAACAATTAACCCAAAGTTTATTAATCGATTATGAATTATTTAACTTATCTTAAGAAGCCATGCTCAAAGTCCTAACTGCTTCACCAAAAGTAAATGGATATGGAAATTAAAGATTTCTCTATAGAACAAAGAAGTGAACCATTAGACAAAAACTTTAATATGTAAATTTCAAAGAAAGACACTTACTTGATGAGTTAGCCACATTAGAAGAATATCTGAAGTAGGGACCAAAATAGAGCAACTATCTGCAAATCTATGCATCATATACAGAAAGCCCTTATACCGTTGTCGAGCTGCTATCAGATAAACAATCTCTGAATAGCAGGGCTCAGAAAATTTGGTGTATAAATGTCTCTGTTTGGATACTTCATTTAGAAGATCTTCGTGAAGAATGGAGACAAAGTTCTGTAAATTGGAGTCAGATTCATTTTCAAAAGGCTCAGTTGGGTATCTTTGAACCCAAATTTCTTTGCATCTGTTTAATGCATACTCTTCATTTTCTTCATTAACTATAGTTGCTTTTCCAATGAGTTTACAGAACCTTGATTCACAATATTGCCTGTAACTGACCTGAAATTAAAATATCCAAATATGCTTTAGCATTAATTAGAACTATTAATACACAGTTTTAGTAGTGCATTTTGAAGCTCTACTTTCAGTTTAATTTAAGAGAAAATACTAAGAGGAAGTGCAAGGAAGAGCTTACGTGTATGTAACTTTACTCTTTCCTAAACTAGAAGCTCAAACTTCATATGGTAGAACTAACTTTAATGTATAAATATAACACTTTTTTTTGTCCAATATTTTCTGAGAATCAAGTAAAAGAGTAGTACTATTTTCACTGTAATAGTATATCTTACCGAATTTAAGGTGTGACAGTACCAAACCCATTCAATATCAAGAGGAGGGAGAATCATTGGAGGTGTTGACCCATTAGCAAGATCAGAAATCAATGGCATCCATAACTTATCATACCTGCAAATAAGAACAAAACTCACTAAGATTTCCAATATCACTCACATGAACAAGAGACCAGCATCCATATGAAATTACAGAGCATTAAGCATAAGGAAGTAATTAATGTAATAACCTTCTAATAGATTCAAGAATGGTGGGTTTCTCGTGAAGCCAATGAGACTCAGATACAAGTCTCAAGAACCCAAGATTTCGTCTGGAAGCAGCAACAAGATCAACACTTAACCGCACAGTTTCTTCCTCAGATATCTTACTTAGGCTTCTCATGGAACCATCATCCCAAGTTGACATTCTTGTATTTTCAAGACTCTGCACTGCACCCAAATAGTAACTTGAAACATGTAATACAAGAAAGTTTAGGAGCGGACGGGATTTTTCTTAAAAAGGCATGTTCTTTTAGCTGAAGAAGGACAAGGCTCTTGTTGATCCTCAAATATACAAATGGAAAGACGTTAAATTAGGGGTTCATTCCGTTTGGATCGGTTTTTTATTAAAATGAAATCAAACTAAATAAGTGGGTTCTTCAAATATTGAAACCAAACCAAACCAATTAAGTCGATTTTTTATCGATTTGATTTTTGTCGGTTTTTCGATTTTTTTTGTTATTTATCAGTTTTTTTCTTAAATATAAGACATACACTACCAAACACATATTCTGCAGATTATATTTTCAATGTAACCCTATCAAACCAATTGCTCTTTGAGAAATCTATCATTTATCAAGATATATTGATAATAATTGAATCAACTAGTGATGAATAATTTAAGTACTCAATTAAAAATTGATTATTTTAACATGAAATAAATTTTTATTATACTTAGCAAAAGAAAATTACCAATCAAACTAGAATGTAAATGCAAAGAATTAGATTATTATAATAGCAAAAAACTAAACTAAAAATATAAACGACTAATATGTACCATAAAATTTTAGAAACTTTATATATATATATATA